CCAATCAGAAGCTGCAGAAGCTTCATCGGGTGTTCGGTTTCCAAATAACGTCCGCAAAATGGAACACTCACTTCCGGGTTTGCGGCATTCAGGAGCCAGAATGTTCGACTCACAAGGTGTTTGGGACCCAAGGTACAACCGTATAAGTTGACAGCCCAAATCACTCTTCCGTTTTATAGCTTTTTATTTGGGACAGTTTAAAAAAATATCCTGCTTAACTTTCCTCATCCCAAACCTTGTTCGAGCGGATTTCATCAAATTCAGCAGTTGACACCTTACTTTTAATCATCTAATTGCTATTTTTCTCCAAACAAAAATGTTGTCACATTTTCCAGAAATTATTCTGCTTGATGTGTGTGGAGGTTGTGTGTGTGACCAATTCCAGTGATACTGCTTTCATATCTCCTTCAGGTAAGCATGAGTAACTGGAAAAACATAAAAGTAACATGCACCAAACCAGGCTGAATGCATTATTCTAAATAGTCCTTCTCTCAGTAGTGTTACTGGCAAGCTAATGATTCAGTGTTTGTATTAATTTCAAATTCATGCTTCTGTCGACTTCAATTCTGTGGGTAAGAAATGAAGCGTAGGTGGGTTCCCACGACGCATTTGAGGCAAGACACTACAGACCACTGAATACATAACAAGAAAGATCTGAGAAGATCAGAAGGTGCCATAGACTTCCCAAATCAGCACTAGTGTCAGAAAGACTCATAAGAACTCTGCTTAATCTTCTCCAGTTGCTTCGCGGCTCTTTCTTTTGTATATAGCTACTGAGAAACGTGAATAATTATAGGACGGAATTCACCCAACGAACCTTGTCTGCGTATGAGAAAGAGGCTGGAGATTGTTCTGTCTGGCAAACTGAAATGCTTGAGGATGCTTTGTTTCATCCTCTTGTTTCCATTAATGTCCAGACCAATTATTCTGGGCACTATTTAACCCATAGGACCTGGTTTTCAAAGGCATATTGCTACTGACCCTGGAGGTTCTGTTTATCACCAATATGTAATTGATTAAATTCCCTGCCTCCGTTCGAACTGCATTTCCTTTGCACTGAAATGAATGGGGTTGGATTAAAGTAATTATGTAATTTAAGTAATTTGTTACATAAATGGCGTCATTTCAACACAGTGGACAGCAAGGTGCATGATGTAGTTTTTGGCAGAAGATGAACTGCAGTGGAATGGAAGCAGTGGTGCATACAACAGATACAGAGTGGAATGGAAAACAATGTCTTACATCCCTATTAGTAATGGAACTTCTCAACTTGGTTGAGCAAAGAAAGGAATAAGGTTGCACACTATGTGACAAGAGGTGGACACAATCAATTCCCCAAGGAAAGAAATAAAAGAAACTTGAGAATAGCTTTCTATATCTGTCCAGAAGCCAAAAAAGAAAAATCATTCCTCTCCTGTGTGTTTACCCAGTTAGATGTGCAATCTCCAACTTTCATACCTTTTGAGTTCAAAAGAAGATGAAGGAACAATCCTTAAAGGGTACCTTTTGGTTTCAAGATACTATGGGAAAGTAGCAAATTGAGAAAGAAGAGACCTGTTGATGGCCAGAGAGAAAGGAAAGTAAACAAGAAAGAAGTCATTTCTACTTAAGACAGTCCTTGTGTCAAAGGATACAGGATTTATCCTCATCCCTGCTCCTTTTATGACAATGCACCTGAACATGAAAATAAAGAAAATATGGGGAAATGTAAATCCATCATTGTTTGCTATTTAGTGGGTGTGGTGAAGAAAATATTATTCCATTCTCCCCCAAGGGCCACAAAAATAGAAACAGAGGAAGTATGAAAATACGGCATGGCTCTGTGAAGCAGAGACCATCAACCTTTTGCACCGGTAGGCACATTTAGAATGCTCATAAAGGGTTGGGAGCTCCGATTACAAAATGGCTGACGTTGTGATATGGCGTAACACAAAATGGCTGCCGCCTCTGAAAGAGCAGGAAAAAAGACAGGGCCACAAAGTGGTGCAGGCATGCTCCATAAATGGGGGAAAGGGCACCTATATTTGGCCTCCAAATGGAGCAAACAGCACACAGACCTAGTGGTGGGAGGAAAAAATCCTTAAATAAGAGTCACGGGGGAATGATTAATGGACTTCAATGTCTGTACACTAATGCGCAAAGCATGGGAAATAAACAAGATGAGCTTGAGCTCTTGGTACAGCAAACTAAATATGACATAATAGGCATCACTGAAACCTGGTGGGATAAGTCCCACGATTGGAATGTAATAATGGGGGATACAATCTATTTCAGAGAAACAGACCAGACAAGAAAGGAGGAGGAGTGGCATTATATGTCAGGGATGTGTATACCTGTGAAGAGATCCAAGATTTAGAACCTCAAAGCCAAAGTGAGAGCATTTGGGTCAAAATTAAGGGAGAGAAGAATAACAGGGACCTCATTGTGGGAGTTTACTATAGATCCCCAAGCCAAACGGAGGACATAGATGATGCCTTCCTGGAACAGATGGCCAAGCATGCAAAAGGAAGGGAGATAGTAGTAATAGGGGACTTCAATTACCCGGATATTTGTTGGATGTCAAACTCAGCCAAGAGCATAAGATCAAACAGATTCCTCACTGGCCTTGCAGACAACTTCATTGTCCAGAAAGTGGGAGAAGCAACAAGAGGAACAGCCATTTTAGATCTGGTCCTAACCAATGTTGATGACCTGGTTAGTGGGGTAGAAGTAGAAGGATCATTAGGCGCGAGTGATCATGCTCTTCTGAAGTTTACTATACAGCGGAAAGGAGCAGCCAAGCATACTAGGACTCAATTTCTTGACTTTAAGAAAGCTGACTTCATAAAACTTAGGGAAGTGCTGGGTGAGATCCCATGGACAGTAATACTAAAAGGAAAGGGAGTTCATGATGGCTGGGAGTTTGTTAAGAGGGAGATACTAAAAGCACAACGTCAGGCAATACCAATGAGACAGAAACATGGAAGGTGCCTAAAGAAGCCAGGGTGGCTATCTAAAGAACTTTTAACTGAGTTAAGATTTAAAAAGGATGTGTACAAAAAATGGAAAAGGGGAAACCACCAAAGAGGAATTCAAACAAATAGCCAGCACGTGTAGACACAAAGTCAGAAAAGCTAAAGCACAGAATGAACTCAGGCTTGCTAGAGAGGTTAAAAGCAACAAAAAAGGCTTTTATGGGTATGTCCGTAGCAAAAGGAAGAACAAAGAAACAGTGGGGTCACTCAGAGGAGAAGATGGTGAAATGCAAACAGGGGACACAGAAAGAGCTGAACTCCTCAATGCCTTCTTTGCCTCAGTCTTCTCCGATAAAGAAAACAATGCCCGACCTGAAGAATTTGGAGCAAATGATTCAGCAAAGGAAACACAGCCCAGAATAACTAAGGAGATAGTACAAGAATACTTGGCTAGTTTAGATGTATTCAAGTCTCCAGGGCCAGATGAACTGCATCCAAGAGTATTAAAAGAACTGGCAGATGTGATCTCAGAACCACTGGCAGTCATCTTTGAGAATTCCTGGAGAACAGGCGAAGTCCCGGCAGACTGGAGGAGGGCAAATGTTGTCCCTATTTTCAAAAAGGGGAAAAGAGAGGACCCAAATAATTACCGCCCAGTCAGTCTGACATCAATACCAGGGAAGATTCTGGAGCAGATCATTAAGCAAACAGTCTGTGAGCACCTAGAAAGGAATACTGTGATCACCAATAGTCAGCATGGATTTCTGAAAAATAAGTCATGTCAGACTAACCTGATCTCGATTTTTGACAGAATTACAAGCCTGGTAGATGAAGGGAACGCAGTGGATGTAGCCTACCTTGATTTCAGCAAGGCATTTGACAAGGTGCCTCACGATATTCTTGTAAAGAAGCTGGTAAAATGTGGTCTTGACTATGCTACCACTCAGTGGATTTGTAACTGGCTGACTGACCGAACCCAAAGGGTGCTCATCAATGGTTCCTCTTCATCCTGGAGAAGAGTGACTAGTGGGGTGCCACAGGGTTCTGTCTTGGGCCCGGTCTTATTCAACATCTTTATCAACGACTTGGATGATGGACTCAAGGGCATCCTGATCAAATTTGCAGATGACACCAAATTGGGAGGGGTGGCTAACGCCCCAGAGGACAGGATCACACTTCAAAATGACCTTGACAGATTAGAGAACTGGGCCAAAACAAACAAGATGAATTTTAACAGGGAGAAATGTAAAGTATTGCACTTGGGCAAAAAAAATGAGAGGCACAAATACAAGATGGGTGACACCTGGCTTGAGAGCAGTACATGTGAAAAGGATCTAGGAGTCTTGGTTGACCACAAACTTGACATGAGCCAACAATGTGACGCGGCAGCTAAAAAGCCAATGCAATTCTGGGCTGCATCAATAGGAGTATAGCATCTAGATCAAGGGAAGTAATAGTGCCACTGTATTCTGCTCTGGTCAGACCTCACCTGGAGTACTGTGTCCAGTTCTGGGCACCACAGTTCAAGAAGGACACTGACAAACTGGAACGTGTCCAGAGGAGGGCAACCAAAATGGTCAAAGGCCTGGAAACGATGCCTTATGAGGAACGGCTAAGAGACCTGGGCATGTTTAGCCTGGAGAAGAGGAGGTTAAGGGGTGATATGATAGCCATGTTCAAATATATAAAAGGATGTCACATAGAGGAGGGAGAAAGGTTGTTTTCTGCTGCTCCAGAGAAGCGGACACGGAGCAATGGATCCAAACTACAAGAAAGAAGATTCCACCTAAACATTAGGAAGAACTTCCTGACAGTAAGAGCTGTTCGACAGTGGAATTTGCTGCCCAGGAGTGTGGTGGAGTCTCCTTCTTTGGAGGTCTTTAAGCAGAGGCTTGACAACCATATGTCAGGAGTGCTCTGATGGTGTTTCCTGCTTGGCAGGGGGTTGGACTCGATGGCCCTTGTGGTCTCTTCCAACTCTATGATTCTATGATTCTATGATTCTATGATTCTATGATTCTATGATTCTATGATTCTATGATTCTATGCTGCACTTGATCACAATCAGAAGTTCTCTCAACCTATTCAGAATGGAAGTGAGAGAACCAATGAAATGTGGGCATGTTCCATGTAGAAAAGATCACTTTTAACCAATTAACACCATATCTCCACTCCTTGGGTGATAGAATGGAACTTCCTGATAAGTTCAGTGGTGATTCATGCTGGAGTCTCCCTTTGAAGGTCCTTTCTTCAGTGGTGGTCAATTTATCAGTAGCAGGGTGATCTGGAGAGCTGGAAATGTCTGCCCACTGGTTTCAGAACGCTGCTGTTTCTGATGTCAGATTTGCATCCATTTATCTGTTTGCACGGAGAGTGGCCTGTATGTAGAAAGGTGTTAAATGTTCGGGAAAAGTCAGAAGCCCAAGGCAGTATAAGTTCCTCAACTAAGTTTAGTCAACATTTGTCAGTGACAACAGCTCACTCATAGGAACACAAGAACCAAACTGACTGGACAACACGATAATAATCCCAAGCATGAACTGACCGTTGACAGTTGACAATTGAAAGAGCATGCGCTTACTTACCATTAGAACGTTTGTCTGCCAACGCTTCTACGATTGGTTAGAACGTGCCTTGTAACATAAAATGTGTCAAACCCAATACAGTGGTACCTCAGGTTACATACGCTTCAGGTTACATATGCTTCAGGTTACAGATTCCGCTAACCCGGAAATAGTGCTTCAGGTTAAGAACTTTGCTTCAGGATGAGAACAGAAATCGTGCTCCGGTGGCACGGCAGCAGCAGGAGGCCCCATTAGCTAAAGTGGTGCTTCAGGTTAAGAACTGTTTCAGGTTAAGTACAGACCTCCGGAACGAATTAAGTACTTAACCTGAGGTACCACTGTACATAACAAAAGGCATGGCTGCTAATACATAGGAAGTTGCCCCCAAAGAAATGTAAGTGATGTGTGCTTTCTCTCTCCCCACACTCCCAGGTTTCATTCAAAAGGCTGGCAAATGCAGACGCCCCACAGTGAATGGACACTTGACCCCATATCAAGAAAATGTACATCTTCCGATCTGAATCTCACGCTCCTAACATCTACCCCTCACCTGCAATATTGAACACTTTTTTCAGTAACTAATGAGTTCTTTCTCTATACCCCCTTAGACATTTTGTAAGTTTTTGTGACTTTCATTCTTGCTTTGTCCAGAGTTCTTTTGTAGTTTATCAATGTAGGAGTGAATCTTGTCTCATTTCTTTCTCACCTGTGGGAATGAGTTCATTTTAGCCCATCCATTCGATCTTCTGAAGCTTGGTAATATTTTTGACTGTGACTCTGAGTTCCTTTAGCAAACTGTCATATTCATCTTTCCCCCTTGGGAAATCTACCACTGTTATTGGCACTTGTTCATTCTCCTCCACTGAGAACAGTAAACTATATAGAATTAATCTGCATTTGTAAAAGAAATACCTATCGCTTTTTTCCCTTCTGTGCCATAGGCATGCTTTTGTAAGATCATTGTATTCTTCCCCAATGTCTTTTCCCACTTCCTAACCTCCTCCCTCAGTGCATGGGAAAATGCAAACTTTACTCAAGACACCGAAAATTGTACTAAGGCAACATTACATTACATTATATCTTATATGATTTAACATTACAGAATCCCTTGAAATTCACTGCGGGTCACAAACCAAAGTAGTATCTTGTTGAAAATTCTTTAAAAATCTATGACTGAGGCAAGGCAAATTCTCACATAAAAAAGCAACTAAGATGCAGGCCTATAGCTGACCCATATAAGTATGGGGCGAGGAATTCATTGAGTTTGTCTAATTCACGTTTCCTGAACCAGTACGCCAACTGCCACCCCCCAGTTAAAATTACCGTAAGATAATAGTATCAATGCAAGCTTCAAAAATCACTCGAAAATAGCATTAAACACCAACGAAAAACAAGGTGTGCCAAGGACTTAAATATACTGGGTGGTATTCAATACTAGTCATACTCAAGAGTAGACCCATAAAAATTAATGGACATAAATGACATAGTGTTTTAGAAAGTCTGACTTAGGAACGTTCACCTTTAAATGTGAACAGTATCAAATTTCCACCCCATCCCTGTTTGCGAGTTACCTATGGCATGGGCATTTGGCAAAATGGTGGGCATCAGATAAGGGCTGTCCAAGATGAAACAGGAAATTTTCCCAGTAAAGACAACTCTTTATATAGCATTAATGTCCCCGGTCACAGCGGCCTGCCTTGGTGCCTTATTAGTTTTAATGAGCATTGTTGTTTTGTTTTCATATTTTAACACACACACACGCTCTCATTTTATTCTGTAAACCTAATTAGGTCCAAAACTGCCTGCTCTGATCTCAAGATAGCTATTGAGAAAACCCAAGTTTTAAAAAATTCATTTGTTTTCAAGCATTTACCTCCCCTGATACATGAGCTGAACACCATTCTCTCAGTCCTGCATTTTTGCTTTATAGCAAATAAAAATCCTGTCATAAAACATTCTCTTTACCAGCAAATGTGCCAAGATTTGCAGAAAGATTAAAGCAATATATACCAGAAGAAGAAGAAATACAACCAATATACATGGCGTCTTTTTGTTCAGTGCCATCCAAGATTCTATTGCCAAGAATCATTTGAAGGCTACAATATTAGAGTATTACTACACACACTTCCTTGGAAAGAAGTCCCATGGAAATCAATAGGCCTTACTTCTGAGTCAACATGCATAGGGTTGTTCTGAATATTGTGCCTAGGCACTGCCATACCTTTTGTGAACCTCCTCTAATAAATTGAATGTTTTGAAATAATTGACCCACGCATCACAGTGTCAATAGGAGTCCTAAATGGATGGCAAAGATTTCAACATCTCTCAGGGTCTGTGATTTTCTTTTCTTAAAAGGAAGAGCATCAGTCTCCAGTATTAAGCACAGTACTGTTGTGTAGACACACAGAGAACTTATAGTGTTAGGAGTATCATTTGTTGCCTATTACAAATTTTGTTGCATTTTCCTATTGAAACGCATGTGAACTTTACAACAGCCATTTAGAGACAAAGGGGTAAAATTTGTCCAGTTTCTCTCCCCCCATGTTGTTAATAGGGTTACAACATAAACCAGGGGTCGGCAAGCTTTACCGGCCATGGGCCGGATCAGTCCCACGGAGATCGTCTGTGGGTCAGACTGGTGCAGCGCGGAGCCAGAAATCATGTCTGCGCATGTCTGCTGTGGTGCCGGAAATTGCTTCTGCGCATGCCCAGACGCCAAAAATCGCACCTGCACAGAAGCGATTTTCGGCATCTGGCCATGCACAGATGCGATTTCCGGTATCTGCGTGTGCGCAGACACGATTTCCAGCACCGCTCAGCGAGTCCCCGCACCACGCTGCGCCAGTTTAGTGCAGCGTGGGGGGGGACTCACCGAGTGGGTAGCTCGGTTCAGGGTGGCTTGTGGGCTGGTAAAACGGTCTTCGTGGGCCACATCCAGCCCATGGGCCATACATTGCCGACCCCTGAGATAAACCCATGCATGCTTACTGTGAAGTGAGCCCTACTGTGTTCAGTTTTGTTTGATCACAGGAAAGTAAGATTTCAGTTGTCATTTCATCTAGGCAGGAGTGGGGAACTGGTCCTCCCAAGGATCCTATAAAGGTCTTCTTCTTCTTTGGCGATCACTCATAGCCGAGTAAGATTGTCTTCCAAAACATGGTCTTAGCAGTGAGTCCGTAAGTGACTGTGGAGGCCAATTCTGGATCCACACGTCCTTCCACAGTGGGGACATAGGTTTCCGGGTGGGAGTTGATCATTTTCAATGCATAGGCCAACCTGATACCCTCCCCGTGTGCATTCAACCTGAGATAACATGGACAATTGTCAGGGATGATGTGTTAGTCCAAAAAAACTGGAGGGTACAATTTTGGCTGCCTTCCTGCCTCTGCCTCCACATCTGGAAAAAGCCTAACTTACTGGGGTCTGTTTGTTACAGGTGGCTTGGAACTGTAAGTTAGAAGGGGTAAATTACAGTACCCAAAATTCCTTTAAGAATTTATAGTGGGACCACCTATGGGCTCAAAAATATTGCACCAATATAAATAGAGCAATTGCTAGAATAACTAGAATGGCAGTGAGCCTGGAACTATTGCTATTTTTTTATTGACTTAGGTGAAAACATAAATAAATGCTATCATGCAGGATATGCTCAGTATTGGAGGGTAAAAGCAATAGCTAAGGTACAAGAATGGGAGATTCAAATGCACAAATAAGCTGTTAACGCTAAATTAACCGATGCATTTGGACCAAAGAAGGTAGGCAAAATATGGAATAGATTTAACAAAGGTGTATTTATAACTAGCAGTCCTTGCATTGCTTGTGAATTCTGAGAAACCCCCCAAAATAGTGCCGTTTTGAAATCAGTAGTTAAAATCAGTGTGGATTTGAAAGGTTCTGTCTGCCATCTTGATTCAAAATGGCATCCAATCTGGACAGTTCTGCAAGTTTCCCCAGCTTAAACTGACTGCCATTCCCTTTTTCCTTCTGTACCTGCTGAACTCTTCCTTCCAACAATGTTCCACAGCTATCACAGAATCACAGAATTCTAGAGTTGGAAGGGACCTTGTGGGTCATATAATCCAACCTGCTGCAATGCAGGGATTTTTTTGTCCAGTGTAGGGCTGGAACCCGTGACCCTAAGATTAAGAGCTTTCCCAGCTAAGCCTTGCCAGAGTAGCCAAGACCCCTGAAACCTCTAGAAGACGGTAAACGATAAGGTAAACTTAGGTTGTTTTCACCCAGACTTCCACCCCCAAGATCTGACTTCTTTTGTAACTACCTGAGCCACTGCAAAAAGAAATGGCTCTACAGTTTGCTCAGCTTATTATTGTTTCACAAGGGACTTTGTGACAGCCTAGTAAAGGAGCAGAATTATGGTGAGAATAAAAGTAAATGTAAATGATGCCCAGAAGAAATGCCTTAACATTCCAATATTTCCAGTGCCGTTAAACTGCTTGATTGCAGCTTGCGACTCTCCGGTATGACTACTCACAGAAATTAAAACATGCTTATGTTTCCTGCCCAGAAGCAAATGTTATCTGCCTGGTCTCCTCCACAGCTCAGTGGTGGAGCTGAAGGTTTGGCAGCAGAAAATCCTGGTCTCAGTCCCTGGCATTTCCAGGTTTAGGTGATGGTGATGACAAAGACCTCTGCTGGAGAGCCAATACGAGCCAGTACAAGTGAATCCAATCAGAATAGATTTAATATTGTGTAGATGAACAAATAAGGAAATCAGCCCTGAGTGCTCACTGGAAGGACAGATCCTGAAGCTGAGACTCCAATACTTTGGCCACCTCATGAGAAGAGAAGACTCCCTGGAAAAGACCCTGATGTTGGGAAAGATAGAGGGCACAAGGAGAAGGGGAGGACAGAGGACAAGATGGTTGGATAGTGTTCTTGAAGCTACCAGCATGAGTTTGACCAAACTGCGGGAAGCCGTGGAAGACAGGAGTGCCTGGCGTGCTCTGGTCCATGGGGTCACAAAGAGTCGGACACGACTAAACGACTAAACAACAACAACAGATGAACAAATAAACTGACCTGGCATTGCGCAAAATTCCCAGGCACTTAATATAGTTTTTTCTTAAACTTCTCCCCGCTTTTTACGGATTAGAGGCTCAGAGCTATCCTGCAGCAAAAAGAAAGCATTCTCTCCTACACCCATCGTACTTGGTAGTCTACTTCATACAGGACTGGCCCACCCATGAGGCGAACTGAGGCAGTCGCTTCGTGTGGCAGAATGCCAAGGGGCAGTGCCTCCATGCGTGCCCTGCCTGCCCCTGCCGCCACCCCTTGAAAAATAAGGAGAAGCAGCAGCAGAGGTTTCTGGTGAGATCTTGTGGAACTCTTGCAAGATTTCATCACCGCCACTGCTTCCTCTCACTTCTCCAGAGCCGACCCCAGAAAGTGAGGCTTTGGCCAGGCGTGGAGGCAGGGGCAGGAAGGCAGCATCTTCCCATCTTGCCTCAGGTGGCAAAATGGAATGGGCCACCCCTGACTTTCTTATATTGCATATCTAAGGAGAAATGGAGAAGTCACTTTCAGTGCAATACTATGCATGTCTACACAAAATTAAGTCCCATTGTGATTAACTTCCACAGTTATGTGTATATAGGACTGCAGCCTTAGAACATCTTTATTAAATCCTGGGGGGTGGCTGAACTTTAGCAACATCATGAAACAGAATCTGCAAGTACTAGTTATTCTCTCTCTCTCTCTCTCTCTCTCTCTCTCTCTCTCTCTCTCTCGTCACCTGCTTGCAGAATATATGCATTTCCAGAGTGAAAAGGAGGGGTCAGAGAAAACAAAATGTTCTGTCTCCTCTTGACATTCAGCTTGTTTACATCTCTGTATCAAGTAAGGAGGGAGAAGCCACATGGGACCTTCTGTTTCTTACCCTAGAAGGGAAGGCAGAAGTTCTTCTGAGTCCTGAGAAAGGGTCAGGACATTCTTCCCCAACGTTATTTTTATATATATTATTGCCTTATGTTCTGTCTCTCTTTCTTCAGGAACCTTGCAGAAGACTTGTGGTTCCTGGAGCTGGAGAAATTGACATACAAACTACGTGATAAGGACAACTGTGACTTTAAAGAAGAATGAGAACCTTTTACCAAGTACTTAAAGAAACAACAAAATGTACTGGACTCCTTGGCAGGTTTTGAATAAACATAAACAAATTTATTATTGATAACATACAGGTAGATAAATTAAGGAGCTTTACAATTTTATAACATGCAGAGAATAACACGTGCTGAAAAACCAGAGAGGAGCTGAGGGAAGTTGGGGTGGGGGTGGGAGGGGTTTTTTTTTTCTTTTGGGGAGGGGGGAGGGGGGAAAGGGGGGAAATGAGGATGATTTGTTTTTGATAAATTGTTATGTTGAAATTCCTAATAAAAAAATATTATAAAAAAGACTTGTGGTTCCTAGGCCAATGGTGGAGGAAGGTGGTTGCAGTGGGGGCGGCCCATCACAGGCGCCCCCGCCCCCGGGATGCTCACCGCTCACAGCGGGTGGCTAGCCCTGCCCCCACAGGTGGCTACCCCGCCCCTGGGTCCCAGAGCAGCTAGCTCCGCCTCTGTCCTAGGCAACCACCAATCTAGACTCTGACTTAGCTTCAGCAAGGCAATAGTCTCATGTGCTCTCAGACCTAGGAAGGTATAATTATGAGACCCCTTTTGAGTAAATGTGCCAGTGTGGTGTAGTGGTTAAGAGCGGTAGTCTCATAATCTGGGGAACCGGGTTCGCGTCTCCGCTCCTCCACATGCAGCTGCTGGGTGACCTTGGGCCAGTCACGCTTCTTTGAAGTCTCTCAGCCCCACTCACCTCACAGAGTGTTTGTTGTGGGGGAGGAAGGGAAAAGGAGATTGTTAGCCGCTTTGATACTCCTGAAGGGGAGTGAAAGGCGGGATATCAAATCCAAACTCTTCTTCTTCTTCTAAATATGAAGTCTGTTACTGAGGATCAATGGTTTCTTTTCTGGAGCTCCTAAGACCTAACCATGATGCTTTAGTAGGAGCTCTGCTTGAATCGAAATCTAGGACTTAATGTCAAGGGACCTTCCATGTACTTAACTGCCCCCCTCCTCCAACCTGCAATTAAGTTTTTCTGAAGTTCAAATGCCATCCAAAATGAGCATGTTATTGTTGGATATCGTTTCTCAACCAATCCCTCACAGATTCCCCCCCCCCCCGCAAATAGTTTGTCCTTCCAATATTCCTTCTCCCAATTGATCCCCTGCTTGCATTTTGTTCCCAAATACCCAACACCCTACAAAAGGAAGAAACCTTACTTTTCTCACAGTCACTAATTCCATCTCTAAGCAAAACAGAAGTGTAACATTTAAGGTAAGATGTTGAGCTGGGGAGCAGATGCTCAGGCAGTAGGCAACTCAACTTTGCTACCTCAGTCACTCGCTCTCTTTTACCAGCCTCTGCCACAGCTAAAGCTGTGGTTCTTCTAGGAAATGGTAGACTCTGCAGTTAGGCTGGTTGACATAGTTTCTAATCTACATGGTGACTTCTTCATGCTTTCATCAGGAATGGCTACCTATCCATATGTTGCTGAAGTAGAACTCTCCTTGGGTGTGATGGTGTCAGGGACTGGGCAGAGGAGGAATGGTGGAGACCACCTCCCCAGCCTGACCCTTGCAGAGAAGAAGAAGACAGCTCAGAATTACAACAGGGGTTTGAGGGAGGTCACAGCTCAGAGGAAGATGAGGGGGAAAGTTGGGAAATAATGGGAGAGGAGAAGGAGGCAGAACAGGAGCAGCTGGCTGACACGTTATCACTAGAAAGCATTCCAGACCCACCATCTCCCAGAACCCGGCAAGCCTTAAAAGTAGGAGAGCAAAGAGCTCGAAGACAGATGGCCCTAAGTGGCAACCATAGGGGTGGTGGTGCTGTTGATGAATGAGGAAGTGGGAGAAAAGGGAGGTGGAGATTTACTCGGGACAACACCGTTATTCTAAGAGGCTGCATTCTCAAGCCTCTCTCTGTGAATATTGAATAAAAAGCAGATGGTTAGGACTTTTTCTTGTTGTATCCGCTCCTGGCATTCTGCTGTTGGGATTGGTTCCTCTGCCACCTGACAGATGTGTGGGTGAGGCTTATGGTATTTAGAGGGCCACCGTTTCCCCATTCTTGCTCTACAAGTAAAGTGCGGTACAGATCACCCTGAAAATCTTCTGCGTTGTCTAGATCACCAACACGGCTTCCGGTAGTGGTGTGAAAGACACCCTCCAGTTGCGTTGGCAATCCATGTGTAGAACCATGTGCCACAGCATGGAGACAGTGCCAAGCATGAGCTAAGTCTGAAGGCAGCCCTGTTTAGGGAAGCTTTTAATGTTTAATAGACTATTGTATTTTAATATTCTGTTGGAAGCCGCTCCGAGTGGCTGGGGAGGCCCAGCCAGATGGGTGGAGTATAAATAAATTATTATTATTATTATTATTATTATTATTATTATTATTATTCCCCTTGCTCTCCATGTGGCTGGGGTTATACATTATGTACTTTTAGCAGGCCATGCTTAGGAGATCGCACTTTTATTCCGATCAATGGCAGCTTAACATATGCTTTACTTTGAATTGCATAGATCAATCTTGATAGGGTGCCACGGCAATTAGGTGTGACATGAGCTGGCTTTGCACCATTCGTTTAACACCTTCAAGTCAATGCTATTGATCAGCTGCTGAAAGAATTCGTTCCATTTTCTTTTCTTTCTATCAGGATCTTGTTAGCGGGTGGCCTTCAGTTCACAGTGCTGCCAGGGAAGCCTATTGAACTCATGCCAAAATGGGAGAGTACACAAGGTCATATTTCTTCAATGTGTTTTGTTATGACAGACCACTCACACCAATTTCACTGGCTTTAATATGTCACTGTCTTACAAACTGAATTGCTTTCTGACTCATTTAAGTTAAGCAACAGATGAGTGGGTGTGAATCTGGCTTAAGTTCTTGTCTGGGCGATTTTCTTCAATGTTCTTTGTGTGCCAGTTCTTTGAGCCCGGCTTCGGCTGGGGAGGGCGGGATATAAATAAAATTTATTATTATTATTATTATTATTATTATTATTATTATTTAGGAATCATAACCATTTCTCCTAAACTCTTGTGTCCAACTGAATTGGAAGAACTCTTGCAGGCTGCAGTGCAATTTAATTGTGTAGAATGTATCAAATGCAATTAAAAGAATCAAATAATGACTACATTACATCATATTAACAACTCCCATGTATTCGTTTTGGGAGGAAAACAGGTACTTGGAAAAAGGCATAAAACCATTGACCAAAGACCAATCCTATGATAAGAAAAACACTTTCTTGTACTATGAAGAGTAATTGAAAGCAAAATTCATAATCCTACTATATTTGTCAATGGCTAGATGCTTTCCTTAGTCTGGTAGTATGCCAAACTATCCCCCCCCCCGAAAAAAAACAGCTAGTGGCATCAATGCTTGTACTAGATGATTTTTCATTAACACTTCAGTACTTTAGGGACGCTGGTGGCGCTGTGGTCTGAACCACTGAGCCTAGGGCTTGCCAATCAAAAGGTTGGCAGTTTGAATCCCCATGCGGGGTGAGCTCCCGTTGCTCGGTCCCAGCTCCTGCCCACCTAGCAGTTCGAAAGCACGTCAAAGTGCAAGTAGATAAATAGGTACCACTGTGGCGGGAAGGTAAACAGCATTTCTGTGCACTGCTCTGGTTCACCAGAAGCGGCTTAGTCATGCTGGCCACTTGCCCCGGAAGCTCGTTTGCAGACAAACGCCAGCTTATAGAGCGAGATGAGCGCCGCAACCCCAGAGTTGTTTGCAACTGGACCTAACGGTCAGGGGTACCTTTACCTTTACCCTTACTTCTGTTTGGTTTTACTTTTGAAGAACAAAACAACTTTGAAGTACAAAAAAATAATAATATTTGTATTATTTTCCTTCTCCTTGTTGGTGCAAAAAACAAAAACAAAAAAGATATAGAAAGGAGAATTCCATGGATGCCAAAATCCAAGTTTGGGTCAACTATTCTTTGGTGAGAGGACTTCAGCAGAAATTTAAAATCACAACACATACCTTCTATGTTTCTTCCAAAGTTTCCCTCTTCCCCTGCCATAGAAAAATACCACACGGTTTTTAAGTTAAATATTATTTGTTTGCAAACTACAGATTCATGTGCTTTTCCATACAGCATTCAGAAAAAGTTGCATAGGCAATAAAAACTTGGCTTAAATACAAAGTGGGGAAAGTTCCTAAATTATTGGTATAGGAACTCATGAGTGGCTTGTGAGAGCCATGCGGTCTGAGCTGGAGCAACCAGCTCAAACCCCTTCACACGTTGAGCTTCTCAGGTGAAGGACAAAAAGACTTGATAACCTACTTTTTCTCAAGGTGAATGGAAGTGGACCTAATTAAGCCTGGCATTACAACTTACTCTATGTTATTAACCCCTTTGTGTGTTAATTAGACTTTAGCATGTTAGTTATATGAGGCTGGTTTCCCCACACTCTTTAAGTAGGTGCATGTTGCTCTACTACTCCTTCTACACTAGTACTACCAAAAGAGGGAGGATGAGTCCATTGGCCACTTCCTCACTCACACACCCCATCCGCTGTTCTTGCAGTCTCCCATATGTTGGGGGCTGAACCTCTGCAATGCAGAGCTTGCTAAGGACTAGGAAAATCTGTCAGTTTCAGTTTCTCTAGGTTTCTCATTTCCCCTATATTAAATTCAGTTCTATGCACTTCTTTATCAGTTTGTGATTTTTTAAAGGAAGTCCTCATGACAATTCGTCAGTGTTTCAGTGTACATTTTGTCCACAATGAACATTTTTATGTCATTTTGACTAACATACACATTTTTGCAAAACAATTGCCCCTAATATAATGAAACTTTATTTTCACTAAGATATGCACTTTACCCTAGCACGGGAGAAGTGATAAGTATGAATTTCAAAGGATGTCTGTGTATTTGGTTCAGAGGGGGGGGGGGCAAAATCTGGAAATTTTACTTTTAAATGCAAATTGTTTCTAAGCATGAATAAGCATGAATACTGTCCTCCCCACACCACCTTGTCACCTGCTGCCCAACACATCTCAATGGTGTCCAGCAGGAAACACACACTTTGCCCCCCCCCATGTTTTTCCCCTCAGGCCCATCTCTGCAGGGCGGGTGAGCAAAAAATGCTCTGTTTTCTTTTGTGTGGACAAAGAGAAGATGGGTGCCAGAAAAAGCAAAACCGAGGGGAGGGACAGAGGGAGGGAGA